GGGAAGGCTGCGAGTCGGGGTCCAGCTGAGATAAGCCTTTAGCAGGCAACTTGGCAGTAACATCAGGAGCCGTGAGCACATTATGCCCTTTGGTCCTCTTTCCTGGAAACGTGCCTCGAAGGAAATCACCCAAATGCCAGAGGCACAAAAGCTTCCACCATCGAGAACACGGGTTCAGAACAGCCCAAAAGTAGGAGCCACCGACGTGAGGTGCTCAGAAACCAGCTGCCTCCTCGGTGAGGACAGAAGGAATAAAAGACGGACTTGTGTTCAGGCTAAAAGCCACCGACGGCTTTCCCTTCCTATCTCCAGCTGCTGGTGATGATGTTCCTCTCATCACCGACAGCACAGCCCCCCACCCACAGCCCTCCTGGGGGGGGTGGGGACGTACCTTGGAGTATTTGTAGGACACGTTTGCACTTCCTCTACAGCAGCTGGTGAGCTTACTCAGCACCGTTTCCCTGCAAGAGACCAGTTACTCCAGGCGGACCGAGCAGGGCTCCCAGCCTAACGGGGAAGGTGCGGCCCGCCCGCCTGCCTCTCCACACACAGGAGCGCTAAACCCAGGGCGGCGGCCAGAACACCATGGAATCAGACAGAAGGGGGTCAGCTCCTGCCCCACCGCTTGGCGGCCCAGCGAGGCCTGGAGCAAGCTATCGGGCATCGTGCTTCCGCTTTTCCACGCATGAACGAGTCGGGACACCTTCCTGAGCCCCAAGGCTGCACCGAGGCTGCCAGGGCCACTGCGTGGGTGACTAACCCCCAGACGGCTCACGCCCAAGCCCTCTGCTGGCCTCTGGCTCACGGCAGATGAGAGAGGACAGGGAGCCCAGAGCTGGCCTGCTCCTCTGCCCGGCCCAGGGCTGACCCCCCCCATAGGGCTCCAAGCTGCACGCCTGTCACGTGTGACGTGGAAACCCGATGGGAAGTCACACGCGATGAGTGACGAGCCCCTGCCCGCAGCAGGTGCCTGTAGGCAATTACTTTACGAGGGACAAGGGGAGGGAGGGAGCTAGATCGGGAGGAAGTCTGCTCGTGGCAGGTGCTTAGCTTGCTGTCCCTCTTTGGACATCCAGGCGCCCCGGGAACCGGCCGGCCAGGCCAGAGCGCAGAGCGCAGCCATGGCATGAGGGCGGAGTCTGGCGGAGCACCTGGGACAGGGTCATGGCTCTGGGCACCCGGGACACCTCATCACAGAAATGCAGGCATTTATAAAACTCAACTGGAAGCCACCCTCTGGTTTTAACTTTGGGATCTGGTTGCTGTTGGGCCCCCCAAAAAACTGAACCCTAGATGCGATTCTGCCCACTGCCCTCCCCCCTCTCCTTACCGCCTTTCCTTTTTGTAGAGCAGCAGGGTCAGCAGGCAGCCCGTGAGCGCCACCAGCAGCAGGCTGAGCACCGCGCCCACCGCCTGGCTCCGCTCCGAGAGCCCCGTGCGCGCCGGCGCGTCCGCTCCAGCGTCCTCGCTGTCGAAGCCCGGCCTGGAAGGAAGGCACGTCACTCGGGGGCCTGCCGCCACAGCGGGGACCAGCAGTGCCCCCTCGGGAGTGGCTCTGATGGCCACACCACACGTCACACCACAACACGAGATCCACCAGACACGAAACCCCAACTCGAAACTGTCTTGATTACGAGTCCAGGCAGCAGCATCGGGAAGCAGGCTGAACACCCAGCTTGGAGCCACGGGGACAGAAGGAATGAGAAAGCTGAGCTTTGAGGGACGCGCTCCTCGGTCCGGCCTGTCCCTCTGTAGGGCCTCGGGGCACAGAAGCAAGGAGTGGGCGGGACCTGGGAGATGCTCTGAAGACTCTGCCCTCAGAGCCAGAGACCCCCCAAGCCAGGACCAGCCGGCGCCGGGGACACCGCCACGCACTGGGGCTTGACGTCGGATGTTGCTCGTCACCCAGGCCCCAGTGTCATCTGATTTCTACTTCTGGTCCCTCCAGTGACCCATGAGTACTGAGAAGTGTGATTTTCTCTCCAAATGTATTTCTACTTTCCAGTGACTCTCCTGTCACTGTTCCTAGCTGAACGCACCACGTGTGCCGGTTAGATGGCGCCACGTACAGAAACTAGTTGAGCCTTGCTTTACATCCCTGCTCCTGGGAAAGTTAGGACAAGGATGACTCTTTTTTTGCTGGACTAGCGGCCACAGAGTAAAAGACAAAACCAATGTCAGATTTAAGATCTCAAGGGTGGGGCCGGGGCTGTCCTGGCATGGTCCCTGCCATCGTTCTCTGCTGACTGCAGGGTCCTTCAAGCAACGAAGGAAAGCGATTACAGGCAGGAAAGCAGTTTTCTCCTGATCTTGTCTCAGGACAGAGAATAGAAAGCTTCTGTAATATGGTCACGTGGATGAGACAGAAAGAGAGCAATCGAAGAGGAGAGCCATGGATGCGCTCTGCTTTGGATGAGGCCCTAAACCTGGCACCACAGCTGGGCCAGGGAACCAGGGGTGGGCACCAGAGAGGCAGTTCCCGAGGCCACGGAGGCTGCCAGCTCCCTTCCCTCAACAAGAAGCCCTCAGGGCAGAAAATACTTCCCTCGAGTTAAAGTGACGTTAACCACACAGTAGTTTGTACTAGAAAACAAAAGATTAGCTGGGAACAAAGATGGGATGAAGCTGCCACCTCCCAGGGACCACCAAGGGGACACGCTGCTGGAAGAAGACATGAGAAGAGAGAGGCACTCGGGGCCCAAGGTGCTCTCGCGCCGACACTGCTGGGAGGGGAGTGGCCGGGGGCGCAGTGACAAGGAGCGGACCAAGGAGACAGGACATGGACAACTGCTGAAGCCAGTTCTGGCTACTAGGGTTTACCTCTACCACTCCTTTGGGTTTGTTCATGTTTGAATTCTTTCCACAACAAAACACTGGGCGGAAAACACACACACACTCATGCTGGAGCTGAGTTCTGAGCGAGGAGGTGGGGGGTAAAGCTGGTAAGTGTCCATCCAGAGAGGAAAGTGACCGAGAACAAGCTCCCACCAGCACCGGGAGGCCGCACTTACCCCAGCGGACACACGGCGGAGGTGTACCAGGAGAAGAGGTACTGGCAGTCGGCGGTCTCGTGGTTGAACTCGGGGATCCCCTCCTTCACCAAAGGGTCACAGTGGAAGAAGATGGTGGAAGAGACCGTTTTTGTCTTATCTTTCCCACATTTGGAGGACGAGGAAAACACCACATCCAGATCCCCATCTGTCAGAAAGGAAGGCGAGCACACAACACAGCAACGTTATCACCACTATTTCAGTAACAGTTCATCTTCTCAAAGTTTATAAAGTTTGCAAAGACTTCAAGTCAAGCAGAAGGGTCCCTCATCAAATGTCCCCTGTGTGTTCTTCCTCAGAGGCCACCTGGCACACACGATGGAGCCTCTCCCCTAAGTCAGTGTGCAAGGCAGCCCGAGCCTTGGCTGAAGGGGGCTGGCTTTGTTCTCAGGTAACAATAGGACCTGGGGTGGCAGCTGGCGAGGTGGTACTGGCCTACCTGGAGACTGGAATAAACCAAGTGAGCAACCAACCAACCAGCTAGCCAACTGACCAATCAACCAGCCAATCAACCAACCAACCACCCAGCTAATCAATCAACTAGGTAACCAACCAACCATCCAATCAACCAGCCAGCCAGCAAGCCAACTATTTAATTAACCAGCCAGACAGCCAATCAACCAACCAACCAATCAGCCAATCAATCAACCAACCAATTAACCAACCAAACCAACGTAATGGAGCCTCAATAAAAGCCCTGGCCCCCAGGGGGCAGTGAGCCCCTTGGTTGGCAATACTGGGCGCACTGTGTCACACACTGACCTGGGAACGTACACACCCCAATCCCGCAGGGAGAATAGCAGGGGGTCTGGCTACCTCCTGAACCTGCCCTGCATGCTTCTTCCTTTGGCTGATTTTCATCTACATCCTTTCACTGGAATGAACCACACCGGGACTAAGAGCTCTCAGTGAGTCTCAGAGCCCTTCTAGGGAATTATCAAACCTGAGGCTGGCGATGGGAACCCCCCAAACTAGCAGTTGGTGTTAGAAGTGAGGCAGCCTTGTGTGGATTCAGTCCCCTCCCCACTCTGTCGGCGATTGGAACTGTTCAGTCAGCCACAGCGGGGAGGCCGGGAGGGTAGTGTGTGAGGCAGACAGATCAGAGAGGGGAGCCCTGGGACCCAGGCTGTTCAAGCCACTGGGATGGATGCACACAAGGCAAGAATAATACCAGGGCTTAGATATTTTTTTTTTAATTTTAAAATCAAGACATTAAAATAAAATAAAAAAGGATCTGAGATTTCAACTGAGGGGACTTCATGAATATTTTAAAGCTCTTCCTTCAAGGGAGTAAAATAGAACAATGGGAAAACGCAATTACCTTGAATGTAGTATTTGGTTTTATCGGAAGTCCCCACTTTCCTGCTGAAGTGCTGGTCATTGGATTTCACCTGGCAGACGCTGGCCCCGTAGCAGGCCGGGTTGTTGGAGCTTGTGATGGAAGAAAGCTGGATCTCATACAGGTACTTGTCCCCGTTGGTCCGAATGTCCCCGGAGGCACTGAACTGCCTGGAGAGACAGAAAAGGCAGCAGTGACTCCGGCAGTCCTTTAACAAAGCTGTTTACACCCGGCCAGCGTGGCTCAGTGGGTAAGTGTCAACCTATGAACCAGGAGGTCACAGTTCCATCCCCGGTCAGGGCACGCGCCCAGGTTGCGGGCTGGATCCCGTCGGAGGCGTGCAGGAGGCAGCTGATCGATGATTCTCATCATTGATGTTTCTAGCCACACCCCCGCCCCCCCGCTTCCTCTCTGAAATCAACACAAACATGTTTTTAAAAAGAAAGCTGTTTACTATAGACCCACAGTCCTGGGAGCAGGTGCGGACGGCAGGACGCCCCCGTCCTCCCAGGCCCGCGAGGACCCTGGTGGGCAGACTTCCGTCCCCCACCACCTGGCACTCTGCACAGTGCGCCTTCTTCGAACTGCACGGCACACACCGCCTCGCCCTGCCCCGGCCCTGCCATGCACCGGGCCTCCTGACCCCAAGAACCTCCCGGTGACACTGCCAAGATGCTGATCAGTTTTTCAGAAGCTGATAAGCTCATAGATCCCTGATCAAGAATTGTTTCTGAAAGCTTTGGCTTCAACCCCGGGGTTGTCGTAAAGTGGGGGGGGCGGAGCGCCTTTATTTTTACACTCAAGAGGATTCACCTTCCTTGGTGTTAAAACCTAGGAGTTGAGCAGTTTTCCCTTGGTTGAGCAGACTGTGCCGACAGCCTGGGCACAGTACGGGCCCTCGGCCGGTTTATCTTGTGGAGCTCCCGCCAGGCAGAGACCCCAGCTGCCGGGCCGACAGCCTGGGCACAGTACGGGCCCGCGGCCGGTTTATCTTGTGGAGCTCCCGCCAGGCAGAGACCCCAGCTGCCGGGCCGACAGCCTGGGCACAGTACGGGCCCGCGGCCGGTTTATCTTGTGGAGCTCCCGCCAGGCAGAGACCTGAGCTGCCGGGCGGATCTGGAACACACGGCCGCACTCGGAGGAAATGCTCACTTACTTAAAGTAAATGTCCCCGAGGCTGACGCTCTTGCCGTTGACGGGGTTGGTGATGGTCCCGTTCACCATCTGCACCTCCTGGGGCTTCACGGCGCAGGCAGCCCGTGAGTCCCAGCTGAAGTGGTAGGTGCAGGTGTCCACGTCGAACCTGGAGGGGTGCGGGGACGGTCACACCCAGGGCCAGGCAGGCTTCCTGAGGAGATGGCACACAGCCACAGGCCCCGTCTGCCTTCAGGTTCCAGCCCTCTCCCCCCACAGGCAGGCAGCTCTGGCTAAGACGGCTCTTTTGTTCACTTTCCACAAAACCGTCTCAGGAAAGAGGACCAGCCGGTACATCAGCAACGTGGAAAGGTAGGCAACAATTTAATACAATTCCTTAAATTTAGAAACCGTGCAACATCGAAAAGCCAAAAAAAATTTGCTCCTAGATTTTTGAATTCTTGTTTGACAAGTGTTGAGACTCATAAATTGACCACGCCGTGGACAGTGGACAACTCCTGGGTCTTCCCTTTCGCAAGCTCAGCTCTGGAGGGAAGGGATTCTTTGTTCACAAATAGCAGCTCACATGCTCCCTCTGCTGGCCACACTTCCCTCAGGCCAGATGCAGAACTACCTGGAGAATTCTAGTAAATTCCAAGAGCCTCCCAGGTGCCACCCACCTGCCCGTGGGCCCGCACTTAACACGATCAGCGCCCTTTTGGCTCCGTGACTTCCAAGGACGGAGGCCAGTGACATGCCACCTCCCGTGGTTGCTCTGGTCTAGTCACCGTGTGTCCCCATGCATTTTCCTTGTGGGGAGCAGCCCTGCCCCCCCAGCCCAGGCCCGAAATCTCAGCGCCAGCCCCTCCCCAGCATGGCCACCAGCATCCTCTTCCTGCTCACACATCCACACACCGGGAAGACCAGAGAGAAACCTGTGGAGCCCCCGCCACGCCCCACGGCCCGCGCCCGCCCTCACCTCCTGAAGGCGGGCCTGCCCACGGTCTTCGCACAGGTCAGTTCTATGACGGTAGACGCAGTCTTGTTTTCACCACACGCGTCGCCTTTTGAATACGTCACGATGATTTTGTCATCTGAAACACACAGTGATGGGAAAGCCATTCGTTCTCATAGAGCGTGAAAACCTTCCAAGTCAGGAATCCAGATCTGCACTAGGGACCCGGACAGAAAGAATGCTGGGCTTTCTGGAAACTCATCGCCGGGGCATCGGCACCTGGGCCGCCCGTGAGGGCCTCCTGGCCCCACTGCTCACACAGAGACCTGGGTCCGACCCCAGCCTCCTGCTCCCTTTTCAGGACTAGTCGTGGCCTCCGTGTGTGTGACAGGAACACCAAACCCGGAGGCGGGAGAGCGCGCTCAGCACTGTGCCGGCAGCCCCTCCTTCGCCGTCCCAGGAGTTCCAGGAGGCCTGAGACATGGTCCTGGGAATAGTGCCTGCGAGTTCCACCCAAAGTCTGCACCGACCCTCCCGGGCCCTGGAGAACACCCCCCACAACCTCCACGCCACGCAGCCCGAGCCACGAGGCCCCGGCCGTACCAACGACGTCCAGCTTCTGCGTGTGCACCAGCCCCAGCACCTGCACGTCCCCAGAGGCGCTCTTCTTGCAAATGCTGGCCCTGTCCGAGCAGTCCAGGGGCCCCTTGTTTACTTTCTGGCACAAGTTTATGTAGTACCTGTGAAACCACAGAGGGCGGTCAGCCTCGGCCCCACTCACCGGAGCAGCTCTCTCCGCGGCTCTCAGGAAAGGCCACGCCTGCTCTAGCAGGTGTGGCTCAGTGGATAGAGCGTCAGCCTGCAGACTGAAGGGTCCTGGGTTCGATTCCGATCAAGGGCACACACCCGGGTTGTGGGCTCAATCCCCAATAGGGGACGAGGAGGCAGCTGATCAATGATTCTCTCTCATCATTGATGTTTCTTTCTTTCTTTTTTTTTAATGCACAGGTCTTCCTTTCTTTTTTTTAAAATGTATTTCATATTCTTATTGAGTTCAGAGAGGGAGTGGGAGAGATAGAAACATCAATGATGAGCGAGAATCATTGATCGGCTGCCTCTTGCACGCTCCCTACTGGGGATCGAACCGGCAACCTGGGCATGTGCCCTTGACTGGAATCAAACCTGGGACCCTTCAATCCACAGGCCGATGCTCCATCCACTGAGCCAAACCAGTTAGGGCTCTCATCATTGATGTTTCTCTCTTTCTCCCTCTCTCTTCCTCTCTGAAATCAATTTAAAAAATGTGTTTCAAAAAAATAGATAAAGAAAAGCCCAAGCATGACAATGAAGGTGCCACAGCACCTGCCTGCAGCTAACACAGCTTTTCAAACAAAGACGGCCCACTACCGCCGCAGGTCGACTCGGCTGGTGAGGGGGGAGGTACTCACGAGGCTCCCTCGTGGTCGAAGAACCAGGACCCGGTGAGGGAGGACAGCAGCCGCAGGTCGTAGGTCTTGTGCCCCTGGATGAACTTGCACTCCATCTTCTTTGGAGGGCAGACCACTTTGGTTTTCCACTCAAACGTCACCTCGCACCCACGCGTCTCACTGAAGACCTGTGGCCTCCCAATATCGGCTTCCTCGTCGCACTTAAAGATGATAGCGGACGTCCGGTGGCTGTTGGCTGGGGAGCAGCGGGGGGACCATCAGACTACACACGGCCGTGTCTCACGCTGTCCTCAAACTGCCACTCACAGTCCATGGTACTCACACTGCCTGCAGGAGCCCCACTCACAGTCCATGGTACTCACACTGCCTGCAGGAGCCCCACTCACAGTCCATGGTACTCACACTGCCTGCAGGAGCCCCACTCACAGTCCATGGTACTCACACTGCCTGCAGGAGCCCCACTCACAGTCCATGGTACTCACACTGCCTGCAGGAGCCCCACTCACAGTCCATGGTACTCACACTGCCTGCAGGAGCCCCACTCACAGTCCATGGTACTCACACTGCCTGCAGGAGCCCCACTCACAGTCCATGGTACTCACACTGCCTGCAGGAGCCCCACTCACAGTCCATGGTACTCACACTGCCTGCAGGAGCCCCACTCACAGTCCATGGTACTCACACTGCCTGCAGGAGCCCCACTCACAGTCCATGGTACTCACACTGCCTGCAGGAGCCCCACTCACAGTCCATGGTACTCACACTGCCTGCAGGAGCCCCACTCACAGTCCATGGTACTCACACTGCCTGCAGGAGCCCCACTCACAGTCCATGGTACTCACACTGCCTGCAGGAGCCCCACTCACAGTCCATGGTACTCACACTGCCTGCAGGAGCCCCACTCACAGTCCATGGTACTCACACTGCCTGCAGGAGCCCCACTCACAGTCCATGGTACTCACACTGCCTGCAGGAGCCCCACTCACAGTCCATGGTACTCACACTGCCTGCAGGAGCCCCACTCACAGTCCATGGTACTCACACTGCCTGCAGGAGCCCCACTCACAGTCCATGGTACTCACACTGCCTGCAGGAGCCCCACTCACAGTCCATGGTACTCACACTGCCTGCAGGAGCCCCACTCACAGTCCATGGTACTCACACTGCCTGCAGGAGCCCCACTCACAGTCCATGGTACTCACACTGCCTGCAGGAGCCCCACTCACAGTCCATGGTACTCACACTGCCTGCAGGAGCCCCACTCACAGTCCATGGTACTCACACTGCCTGCAGGAGCCCCACTCACAGTCCATGGTACTCACACTGCCTGCAGGAGCCCCACTCACAGTCCATGGTACTCACACTGCCTGCAGGAGCCCCACTCACAGTCCATGGTACTCACACTGCCTGCAGGAGCCCCACTCACAGTCCATGGTACTCACACTGCCTGCAGGAGCCCCACTCACAGTCCATGGTACTCACACTGCCTGCAGGAGCCCCACTCACAGTCCATGGTACTCACACTGCCTGCAGGAGCCCCACTCACAGTCCATGGTACTCACACTGCCTGCAGGAGCCCCACTCACAGTCCATGGTACTCACACTGCCTGCAGGAGCCCCACTCACAGTCCATGGTACTCACACTGCCTGCAGGAGCCCCACTCACAGTCCATGGTACTCACACTGCCTGCAGGAGCCCCACTCACAGTCCATGGTACTCACACTGCCTGCAGGAGCCCCACTCACAGTGCCTGGTACTCACACTGCCTGCAGGAGCCCCCCTCACAGTCCATGGTACTCACACTGCCTGCAGGAGCCCCACTCACAGTCCATGGTACTCACACTGCCTGCAGAAGCCCCACTCGCGGTCGCGGTCATAGTTGGCCGTGGTGGCGCACCACAGCCGCACCCTGTTCTCCAGCACGCACTCCTCGTAGCTCTTCCCGTTGAAAGTGAAGGGGAACACACAGGGGTCGCCCTCCTCGGTTTCTGGAAAGAAGGACAGCAGCATAACCCGGGTTGCCGGCACTGTGCTTTGCGGTGCGATGACGGATGGCCTAGTGCTGCCCATGGAGGACCCCCTACAGGAGGGTCCCCCTGGACCCCCTCGGACCCCAGGTCTCCCGTCCAGTGTGGCAGCAGCCCCCAGGCCTGAGTGTCTCCAGCCTGAGCTCCGCTCCCAGGGCTGTGGGACGTGGCGTCCCGTGTCCCATCCACGTCTCGGCGCTCACAGTGGGGCGCTTCCCTCCCGTTTCCTCCCGCCGCCCGGTCTAATGCCACCTTTACTGGGAACGCAGATGTCCCCGCCACCAAGCCTTACCTGGAGGGCAGGTGTCGCCGTTGGCATAACTTAAAATGACAGCCTCGTCCTGGTGCCTATAGTCCAGCCTCATAGACGCCAGCCGCCCGAAAGACACGCCCTTGCTCCCGGAGAGCAGGCAGACGCCTCCGTCCTTGCAGCCGCCCTCGTCCAGCCCCGCGGCCGCCGTGCACACGCCCACGCTGTAGGTGCGCGAGTCTCGAGTCACCTGGACAGAGGACACCACGTGGGGCTGTGAGTGGGCTGCCCCTGCCGGGAGGCAGCGTGAGCAGGAGGCAGGGCTGCACCCGCATGTGCATCAGCCTCGGGCTTGCCCCCTGCTCTGAGTCCCGACCTTCTGCCTGCTCGCTGGGCACCTCCCAGGGCATGGAAAACCCCCCTCCCTCCACCCAGGCCAGCCTGCTTCTCCTCCTGGCCCCCCACCCTCCCCTGCCTGCTTCTTTCTCCTGCCTCCTGGGGCAGCACCTGCCGGCCTCCCAGGCAGCTGATCAATGATTCGAGAGCAGCTGGGCCTGGGACAGAGAGCAGCTGGGAGACCTCAGGCCGCTCAGCCCACTTCTGGAGCCCGTCTCCCTCCAGGACCCGGGGGTGGTGAGGCCTACGCTAACGAGCAGAGTGGGCGCTCCCTGAGTAAGCGTGCACCTTCCCTTCCTGGCTTGCCTGCCCTTTGCAGACTCCACCTACTGCACACCTGTTGGGAGGGCCTGGGCCTGGGCAAGATCTCTGTTTACAGGGTCCGGGGCATGCCCTCCCCAGGAGGTGCGGGTCTCTTGGGCATGGCCCACAGCTGTATGACTCGGTCACACCCAGATCATAGGCCTGGAGGCCTAGGGCCCCCAACCACCAGTAACCTGAGCTGGCCATGGCCTCATCGCCATAGAAAACCATCCGTGTCACACCAACTGGAGCAGACGGGCCCCACACTAGCTTCAAGGTGCCCCGGTCGGGGGCCTCCATCGCCCTGCACCCGCCTCTGTGACCAGTGAGAAAGCCGCTTCTTTCCTAGAGTCGGCTGGGCTAACGTGGCACTCCACACGCCTCCGCCAGCCACCAGCCCTGGCCCTGCCCCTGCGGTACGTGGTCCCCAGCACGTCCTGAGCCACCTGGTCCTCACTGGTGGCCCCAAAGGGTCACTGAATCCTCATAGGCCCTATGGAGTGAGAGCTCCAACCCAGGGGCACAGCTGTGTCAGCGTGGCTGGTTCGCCACATGTTCCAGAACCCCACAGGCAACCCATCCATGCCCCCAGGACCCCCACAGGCCGGCCCGTCCATGTCCCCAGGCGGCGGCTAAGTGCGCCACCCCATGCCCGCCTCAGGGCACATGCCCACGCAGAGGCGAGGGCCGGGCAGTTACCTTGAAGGTGCTCTTGGACAAGCTGGACAGGTTGAAGCTGTAGTCGAGCTGCTCGTCCATCAGGGAGCAGCCCTCCGTCCTCACCTCGTCCGGACAGACCAGCGGCGTCTCCCACTCGAACACGAAGTCACAGTCGCTAACCCTCAGCAGCTCCGGGGTCCCCTGTGGGGTAGAGCACAAGCTCCTGGGTTAGACCCAGCGCCTCCCCCTGCTCGCAACCCCGCAAGGGCCGAGACTGGGCCCTGGGGCTGCGGCACCCTCCCCGCACCCAAGGAACAGGTGCTGGCCGCGGACCACCAGGTCCCCGGGTGACCTGCCCTCCATGTCACAACAGAGACATGTGTGAAACAGACCCTGCGAGGAGGGGAGCAAGCACTTGGACGCGCTCCCAGGCAGCCCCCCCCCCCCCGCCTTCTAGACACGGGACATGTACAAGGCGACACCCCCAGCCAGCGCGCACAGTGCGGGCTTCAATCCCATCTTTACTCCCTCGCTCAGCAACAGCCACAAGAGCAGATGCGCGACTGGTCGGGAATTTTATTTTTGTTTCTGCTGAGAATCTTTTTTCCTAGAAACTCAAATGGAAAAAAGCATTTCAACTGAAGATAAAAACCACAGAGGAAGAAAACTGGAACAAACATTTAGTGGGAGAGCCCTCGTTGCTAAAAGCACGCCGTGCAGCGGGCAGGGACCGGCTGCCGAGCTGTGGGCACAGGCACGTCCCTGGCGGTTCTGACCCACAGAGAAATGGGGGCCATCATTACAGTTTCTCTCTTACTGGGGGACGGGCGGGGGGAGGTGGTCAAGAGAAACGCACATGCAAAGGCTCTATGACAAAACACCACTTTGTTAAACGCACACAGAACAGGAGTCAGTAACCTCCTCGGGAGTCAAATGTACGGCTTTGTGGGACCTGTGTTGATCCAGGGGTCTCCTGTTTTACTAACTTATGAATTCGAGGTGATCACAGCGGCCGAAAGCCTGCCAGACTCCCAACCAGAATCAGCCCCCAACGTCAGGGTTAAAAACGCGTCATGACCTTTCACACGCTGCGAGGCAGAGCTGAGTACCGCTCCTGCACCCGGGCTGTTCGTGTTTTTAGGTTACAATACGCCCCTCTGTGCAACCTGCCCTGTAACTCAGGGTGGGCCGGTTCGTGCTGAATTCATTCACTAAATTAGGCAGATGCACGCCAGCCAGACATGGGACCCAAGGGGGACCGTGAGCTCGGCACCCTGGCTCTGAAACAGGCCTCGCGGGTCCCAGCTCAGCCTCTCCCGCACACTGCAGCCCCCGTCCCCTTGGGGCACACTCGCCATGCTCGCGGGCACACTCACCATGCTCACGCCCCTCTTGCAGTGGAAGGAGATCAGCGAGGTGTAGTTGAAATTCTTGTCCGCTAAGCAAGGGGTGCTGCTCTCAAAGTTCAAGTAGACCTCGTTAGCCACGGGATTGAGAATCGGAGGCCCCGAGACTCGGCCAATATCCTAAACAGAGAAACGCAGCCGCATTTCAGGACAGTCGCTGTCCCCCAGGTTCGCACAAAATGGCCACGTTTACTCCTCGTCCGTTTGGAAAATGAGCAGCGTCTAAGGAAACCTGTTGCAGCAGCTCACTCACAGGCCCGACACTCAGCTGCCACACGGGAAATGCAGGGGGCATCCGCTTTGACCCCACGATTAGAAATAGTGGCTCCGTTTCTACCCCTGGAATGTTCAGAGACTCCAGGCTGTTCCTCTCCGTCACACTGAGAACGTCGCACGGTCTTCTGGGACCCGGCGGTGGGAGGCGGGAACCGCCGTACGTGCCCCCGCTGACCCTCACGCCCAGCACTGCCCTGCGACTGCCCCTCACCGGGAGGGCACAGCCCTGCTCCGCGCCACCTTCACCATCAGCTCAGCACAGCACCCAGCACACGGGCTGCTCAGAAGGTATTTTGGAGTAAATGAACACATGAAGGAAAGACAGGTGAGCACCAGGAGTGTGTGTGTGTGTGTGTGTGTGATAAAGGGTGTGTGTGATAGAGAATGTGTGTATGATAGAGAATGTGTGTATGATAGAGAATGTGTGTATGATAGAGAATGTGTGTATGATAGAGAATGTGTGTATGATAGAGAATGTGTGTATGATAGAGAATGTGTGTATGATAGAGAATGTGTGTATGATAGAGAATGTGTGTATGATAGAGAATGTGTGTATGATAGAGAATGTGTGTATGATAGAGAATGTGTGTATGATAGAGAATGTGTGTATGATAGAGAATGTGTGTATGATAGAGAATGTGTGTATGATAGAGAATGTGTGTATGATAGAGAATGTGTGTATGATAGAGAATGTGTGTATGATAGAGAATGTGTGTATGATAGAGAATGTGTGTATGATAGAGAATGTGTGTATGATAGAGAATGTGTGTATGATAGAGAATGTGTGTATGATAGAGAATGTGTGTATGATAGAGAATGTGTGTATGATAGAGAATGTGTGTATGATAGAGAATGTGTGTATGATAGAGAATGTGTGTATGATAGAGAATGTGTGTATGATAGAGAATGTGTGTATGATAGAGAATGTGTGTATGATAGAGAATGTGTGTATGATAGAGAATGTGTGTATGATAGAGAATGTGTGTATGATAGAGAATGTGTGTATGATAGAGAATGTGTGTATGATAGAGAATGTGTGTGATAGAGAATATGTGTGTGATAGAGTGTGTGTGTGATAGAGAATGTGTGTATGATAGAGAATGTGTGTATGATAGAATGTGTGTGTGATAGAGAATGTGTGTGATAGAGAATGTGTGTGTGATAGAAAATGTGTGTGTGTGATAGAGAATGTGTGTGAGTGTGTGCGTGTGCACAATGAGTGTGTAAATGAAGCTGTAACACTTTGTTTATCACTGTGGGGCATGTTCAGGCCACAACACTGCAACACCCTCTCCGGTTAGAGAAATTGCTAGTTTGTAGAATCTGAGAAAGGATAGCTGGGCAATAATACAGCAGATGGGGCGTCTCAGAAGGGGACCGAGCGAGGACCCCAACCTGCACTGTGGACAGGACTCCCACGGCCTCCCACCGAGGCCTGGCTCACCCCACCCTCCCACCCACAGGGCGGCGGCTCTGCCAGCCCCTCGAGCAACTCCCCTGCCCACTCCTGATGCTCCAGACACGCTCGCCTTTCACGAGGACCTGAGACCCTGAAACAGAGCTCGCTACTTAAAGAACACAGAGAAGCACCACTTTTGAGGTGCATTTTAAATACCACACCTACCCAGGGTTTGACAGAACATGCATGTAACTCGTGAAGACAGGTTCTGGAGCTGCAAACCTACACTGAAAACGCGAGTATAAAACCAAAGCTTTTGAGGCAGAACGTGTAGCTGTCAGCACAGCCGTGTCAGCCCTTAACTGTCCCGGGTTTACTAAAGCAAGTGCTCGGCCCGGCCGGCGTGGCTCAGTGGTTGGGCGCCAACCTGTGAGCCAGGAGGTCACAGTCAGGCCACATGCCCAGGTTGTAGGCTTGATCCCCAGTAGGGGGCGTGCAGGAGGCAGCCGATCCATGATTCTCATATTTGATGTTTCTCTCTCTCTCTCGCTCTCTCCCCCTCTCCCTTCCTCTCTGAAATCAATAAAAATATTATTTTTTAAAAAGCGCTTGCGTTTTGGAAGATGTGCATCCACAGAAACCCAGCTCTGCCGAGTTCTTTCCTGCACTTTACGTAAATGTTTCTCCACCCACAACTCCTCCCGTGGCACACAAGCCTGTGGCTACACACGTGTTCACACCTCCGTCCACAGCTCAGAGACTGGCCACCCTCACCAGCGGGGGCCTGACGCAGCACCCCGCGCTGCTCCTCCCCATGCTCCCAGAACACGGCCCGTCGGCTCCACGCCTTCTGCTGGAGGGCCTCTCCGGGGAACGCAAGCAGCACACACACAGGCGTGTGGTCAAAAACCTTGCAGGCGTGGCTCCCCCCTGCATTCCCGCACTTACTATGGGGGTTCCGTCCACGGGCACCTTGCACACGGCGGCTCCAGCGGGACAAGCCAGCCCGTGCACGGGGTTCAGTGGCTGGCAGATGTTGATGTAGTAGTCGGGGTTGGTGTCGGAGGCATCGTCCTCACTCTCGTCATACGCCTCGTAGCCCCCCGTTTGGTGGATGAGGGGGGACAGGTCAATGATGGAGCTGCCATTCTTCACGGAACATTCCGTCTGCGAGAGAGAGAGACCGCTGGAGTCGGCAGCACAATTCCTAGTCCTCATTATGTCACCCACACGAATTTAAAAGCTTCACCACCACCAAAGAAAGCACAAAGGGTGGGTTCATCGCCCCAAACGCTGGTTATAGAAGACTGAGCACGTGGAACGATAGTCACTGGGACCCCAGGAGTGGACGCGAGACCCAGGCACCTGCTGGGAGGACCTCGGGGCCCCAGCCTCCCTTTCTCAGGTCCACGTGCAGCCCGGACTCACCACCTGCTCGCAGGCCAGCGGCGTGTGCCAGGAGAAGAAGAGCGTGCACGTCCGTTTTTCCAGGGAGATGAGCATGGGCCTGTTGGTGGGCCCGGCCTCGGGCCGGCACACAAAGCTGATGACGCTCTTGTACCTCAGGCCGGACTTGGAGGGACAGGGGGAGCCATCCTCATACACCAGCTGCAAGACCTGGTCCGCGTAGGTGAGCCTCTTGTTGGCCTTGCCCACGCTGATCCTGGTCTGCCCGAAGCAGGCCCCTGCGCCAGGAGGGGGGAGGGGAGAAACACACGGTTACGGACGCACACGGCCAGCTTCCTATGAGCTCTTCCCGCAAATGCAGGCTTTCAAGTTCACGCTGACACCGTGATTCTGCGGGTCCGATATGGTCTGAGCAAATGCCACGCAGGCACTATCCCATCACGTGGCCGCGCACCGCCAGCAGCCGTGGCAGGAGAGGGCGTGTGGCCTTCGCGTGTCCTCGGCCCTCTGGCTGGAGGGACGGAGGCTGGGACGGCCTC